CCGCCAAGGTCGAATATATATAATGATATAATTCATAATTTCCTGGGAAGGGTGGGGAGGGTATTTCCAAGACATCAACAGTCAGAACTATGGAATATGCTGCCTCCTCGGAGTGTGGTGGAGTCTCCTTCTTTGGAAGTTTTTAAGCAGAGGCTGGATTGCCATCTGTTGGTTGTGCTGTGATTGTGTGTTCCTGCCTGGTAGAATGGGATTGGGCTTGATGGCCCTCATGGTCTCATCCAACTCTATAATTCTATGGTGTAAATTAGAATCGCAAGGTGCAAATTAGAATCCCATGGAATAGAGCAAGTGTTCCTTTCAGCTTCACCTCCTGAGAGGACTCAACCAAGGTAAACAAGAATCAAGGCAACAGTCCATCTCATAGAAACCAAACACACAGTTGAGTTATCAAGGTTAATCGTGTCAATAGACTGGCAATGTAATATATGGCATTGCCTAGGGAGGAGAAATGACTGGAAAAGAAATGGTCACAAATCTGAGAGTGAAGAAATGATCACACTAAGATAGCAGTGGATAATATTTCAGTCCTGCAGAACATACTTAAAATATTCTGAAAGTTGCTATAATCTCCCACACAGCTCTTCCCACACAGACTATAAAAAACTTCAGAATGAAAGTACATTCAGGCCTCCAAATTTGCTGGGTTTAGGGTCGCAGCAGCACCACAGACGTGGGAAAACTCTGAGTAAAAGAATACTTTTTTTTTCATCTAAGACCTCTCTAGGGTCCCATCTACACTGTCATATAATGCAGTTTGAAGCTATATTATATGATCAAACACCATAAATCTACAGGAATTCTCAATTTTAATGATTATTTGATGCCATGTTTAGTCCCCCTCCCTATACTCTCTCTTATAACACATCAAGCATCTGATGATGAGGTGGCTGGTCCACTGCACTTTATGTCACAATAAATGTGTTAGTCTGTTGTAAGACTCTGAGTTGATATTTGCTGTAACAGCCTAACAGGGCTACTTTTCCGCCCCCATAATTTGTTATTGTGTGTGTAGACCCACAAAAAGCAAAGGAAGATACATTGATTCATGAAGCAGAAAAAAAAATCCCAAATCTCCACAATTAGGGAATACTTTGATTAGGAGCAACCAAAACATCGCAAAACAATAAGCAAGTTATCAATGGCCCCATTTACATATAATACGGTTTGAAACTGCATTAAATGGTCAGTGTAGACCAGTGCTTCCCAACCTTTGGGCCTCCAGATGTTTTGGACTTCAACTTCCAGAAATCTCAGCCAACATACCAGTTGTTAGAAACTGTGGGAGCTAAAGTCCAAAACACCTGTAGGCCCAAAGGTTGGGGACCATTGGTGTAGACTCATGTACAGGCAGTCCCCAAGTTACAAACAAGATAGGTTCTGTAGGTTTGTTCTTAAGTTGAATTTGTATGTGTAACTCCAGCCAAATATATATTGCTTTATATAGCACAGGGAAGGGTTAACACCCTTGTGATATGTGATACTTGTCTTGCTGTCTGTGCCCCTAATAATAATAATAATAATAATAATAATAATAATAATATTTTGTATCCCACCACTATCTCTCCAATGGGGACTCGGGGTGGCTAACATGAGGCCAGGCCCAAACATGTTGTCCGACTGCTTGGTATAAATATGTGAAAGGGTGTCATAAGGAAGAGCAAGCAGGCTTGTTTTCTGCTGCCCTGGAAACTAGGACTCGGAAAGGAGATTCCATCTGAACATTAGGAAGAATTTGAGTTGTTCAGCAGTAGAACCCACTGCCTTGGAGTGTGGTGAAAGCTCCTTCCTTGGAGGCCTTTAAACAGAGTCTGGATGGTCATCTGTCAGGGATACTTTGTGCTTTTTCTGCATAGCAGGGTGCTGGACTAGATGGCCCATGTAGTATCTTCCAACGCTATGATTCTATAATTGTTCTGCAATTTAAAAGGATCCAAAGAGCAAGCCATTAAAAAGTAGACAGTAGAAAATCAGGGGGTGCCTGTATCCTTAGGGCTGACCATATGCAACCCAGAAAACAGTACGCCTCTTATGAGGCAAGCCCATAATAATACTTTCTTCCAGGTAGGTGAACAGAGATTGCAGCACAAACCAGATTTATTTCTCCCTCTCATTCTCTTAATATCAGGCTGGATCAAGAGTTTAGGACAACTGAAATGCCTTCTTGCTATTTCATGTCTTTTTTTAATGGTAGGGCATAATAACATAATTGGAAGTTTTGATAACCTGTCAGGAAAAAGTAAGGTGGTATCTGTTTGATGATTTTTTTTTAAAACACACACACACAATTATTTTCTTTTTTTTCTTTCAGTGTCAAAATGTCCCACCTCATTCCATCTAAGGTGTTGGAAACAGGCAACCTTCTCAAGCCTCCTCTGTTTAATGATATGTATTATATGATATGCTGTTTCAATACGGAAGTGTATATGTGTTCGTTGGTATGCAGGTTTTTTTTAACTCTATGTTCTTGAGGTTGTGGGAGGGGCTGCAGACCATGTGACCAGATTAGATAAAAGATGACAGGGAGTTGTGAGAAAAACAAACATGTTACTTTAAAGAAGTCTACTTGAATTTTTGTCTCCTGAGAGCATGAAATAGAAACAAGATATTTATGGGAGAGCAGATGTTTTTGAACACTAAACAATACTTCTGAAGATGTTATATATATATATATATATATATTGTATATATATATATATATTGCTTGACATATTTTCTGTTCCTAATAGTTCAGAGTCACCTGGAAATCAGCCTCGCAGTTGAAAACGAGAGACAGGGCCTTCTCGGTGGTGGCCCCTCGGCTATGGAATGCCCTACCAGCGGACATCAGGCAGGCCCCTTCGTTACTGGTGTTTCGGAGGAGGGTGAAGACATGGCTCTTTGAACAGGCGTTCAGTTAATCATGCAACTACAACTAACTCAGGAAGACGGTGTACTGAACAAGGAACGGAAAAACGACGGTGAGAACGGGATCTGATTCTATTTGAGGCGTTGATGACGATATGTGTGTTGTCTGTGAATGTCTGTTATATATTGTCTATGTGTTTTTAGTGTAAACCGCATTGAGTCGCCACAAGGCTGATAAATGCGGTATACAAAAGAAGTAAATAAATAATAAATAAATAAATACATGTGGATACAATTTCTTAAAAGTGAACAATAGCAGTTAAAGTGGTGTCACACTTCATTGAAGTTGCAGTGAAGGTGCAGCACAAGAAAGTTCCACATTCCTTGCTTCAGATGAAATGAGCCCGTCCCTCCACCAGAGGTCGCTGTAGGACCAGCACTTGGTTTTCCTGTTTAGTCCAAGGAAGGAAAAAAAGAAAGAAGAAAAGGAAGGAAGGAAGGAAGGAAGGAAGGAAGGAAGGAAGGAAGGAAGGAAGGAAGGAAGAGAAGGAAAAATGGAAAAGAAAAGGGGGAAGAAAGCAAAAGAGGGAGGGAAGGAGGAAGGAAAAAGAGAAAGAAGGAAGAATGAAAGGAAGAAAGAGGGAAGAAGGAAAAGGGAAAGAGGGAGAAAGAAGAAGGAAAGAGAGAGGAAAGAAAGATAGGAGGAACAAAAGAAAGAACAAAAGAAAGCAGAAGGAAGAGGAAGAAGGAAAGGAAGGATGGTGGAACGAAAGAAAGAAGGAAAGAAAGCAGGAAGGAAAGAAGGAACGGAAGGCAGGAAGAAGGAAAGGAAGAAAGAAGGAAAGAAAGGAAGAATGAAAGAACAAAAGAAAGCAGGAAGGAAGGAAAGAAGGAAAAGGAAGAAGGAAAGGAAGAAGGAAAGAAGGAAAGAAAGCAGGAAGGAAGGCAGGAAGAAGGAAAAGGAAGAAAGGAAAAGAGGAAAGAAGGAAAGAAAGCAGGAAGAAAGAAGGAAAGAAAGAAAGAAGAAAGCAGGAAGGAAAGAGGAAAAGGAAGAAAGAAAGAAAGAAAGAAAGAACGAACCCAGAGAGTTTTGAATTTCCTCCCTTCTCTTTATTTCCTATGGTGATACAATAATTAGATCTTGGGGGAAAAGTAATTATTATTTATTGTGGGAATAAAATTGTCGAATATTTTCTTTCTCACAAAAAATATAACCATATTAAGATGCTGTATTAGAGCAGGAATACTTGTGGTAATTCTTTGGCCTTGAGGACAAGCTAGAATTATTTTTTTAAAGTGAAGTCTCACTACCTCTGAGGATGCTTGCCATAGATGCAGGCGGAACGTCAGGAGAGAATGCCTCTAGAACATGGCCTCTAGAACATAGAATGCCTCTAGAACATAGATTATCATTATCCCAAATGGAATAAGGCGACTTCCGCCCCTCTTGGCCACACACAGAGAGAAAGGGCCGCCTCCAGGAGGGCTAAAGCCCTTCCCAAGGAAGACAGCGAGGGAAGAGATCGAGGCCTTTTGACAGAAGCGGGGCCGATTGGACGTCCGCCATGATGTGGGCGGGGCCTATTTGCACGTAAGACGTGGTGTGGGCGGGGCCCATTGGACGTAAGCCGCGTTCTGGGCGAGGCCTCTTTGACGTGACAGCTGTGCGGGCGGGGCCTCGGATGTACGCTGCGGTGTGGGCGTGGCTTATTGGTGCACGCTGCGGTGTGGGCGGGACTTATTGGCGCACGCAGCTATATGGGCGGAACGCATATGACGTAAGCGCCCTGCAGGAGGGATCTATTGGGCGTAAGCAGGGGCGGGGCCAATTGGTTGTACGCGGCGATGTAGGCGGGGCCTATTGGGCGTAAGGGATGTGTGTGGTGGGGCCTATTGGACGTACGCAGCGATATGGGCGGAACATATTAGACGTAAGGGAAGGCGTATTGGACGTACGCAGCTTTATGGGCGGGGCCTATTGTACGTAAGCAGCGGTGTGTGGTGGGACCTTTTGGTTGCACGCTGCGGTGTGGGCGGGGTCTATAGGGTGTACGCTGCTGTGTGGGCGGGGCTTATTGGACGTAGGAAGCGGCGCAGGCTATTGGGCGTAAGCAAGGGTGTGGGCGGGGCCTTTTCCCGGGGGCTTCTTTCCGCTTCCGAGTGAGTGCCTGAGTCACTGGCCGGCGCGGCGCCTTTTTCTTCGCCTTCTTCCCAGTCTCTTGCTCCGTCCCTCGCCGCTGCCGCCGCGATGCCGCTGGAGAACCTGGAGGAGGAGGGCCTGCCCAAGAACCCGGACCTCCGCATCGCGCAGCTCCGCTTCCTCCTCAGCCTCCAGCCGCAGCGCCCGGACCCGGCCGCCCGGCAGGAGCTCATGGCCGCCATCAAAGAGCACGGTGAGACGTGGGCCCGCACAATTAACGCAACAGGACACCACTTGTAACTGCCATGGCTCAGTGCTATGGCATCCTGGGAGCTGTAGTTTGGTGAGGCGTCAGCGCTCTTTGGTAGAGAAGGCCAAAGGCCTTGTCAAACTACAGCCCTCCCACACAGCCATATAATCCAGACTATCAAGGCAGAATATCCCACAATATCTGCTTTGAACTTGGTTATCTTTTATTTTGTTGTTCATTCGTTCAGTCGTCTCCGACTCTTCGTGACCTCATGGACCAGCCCACGCCAGAGCTCCCTGTCGGCCGTTACCATATCTTTTATTACCATGAACATATTTGCTGCAAGTAGCTCTATGGAAAGCCAATTGAGATAAATATAAACACCATACAGAGCTTCAAGCCAGTCTCCCAAAACTGCAAATGTGCTGTATTTTACCATGAAAAACAATGTACCGATATTTACAATGGAAGACACAGTCGGATCAATCAGCTCAAACTTTGAAACAGATCAGTGAAACAGAAATAGCAAAGGGTTGTTGTAGGTTTTTTTCGGGCTGTATGGCCATGGTCTAGACCAGGGGTCCACAAACTTTAAACAGAGGGCCAGGTCACAGTCCTTCAAACAGTTGGAGGGCCGGATTATAATTTGAAAAAAGCATGAATAAATTCCTATGCACACTGCACATATCTTATTTGTAGTACAAAAAACAATAACAATCCAATAATTAAAATAAAGGACATTTTTAATCAATATAAACTTATTAGTATTTCAGTGGGAAGTGTGGACCTGCTTTTGAGATAGGATTGTTGTCATTGTTGTTGTGTGCTTTCAAGTCGTTTCAGACTTAGGTTGATCCTGAGTGAGGGGCGGGTAAATGACTTTGGAGGGCCGCATCCGGCCCCCGGGCCTTAGTTTGAGGACCCCTGGTCTAGAGGCAATGCCTCTAGACCATGGCCATACGGCCCGAAAAAACCTACAACAACCCAGTGATTCCGGCCATGAAAGCCTTCGATAATACAGAAATAGCAAATATAATAAACAGTTTCAACCATATATCTTTTCGTTTGTACGGACAATAAGCGTCCATATCAAATTAAGATTTACAAGACATTGTTCCATCAATGTTTTTTCTGTATTATACAGCAGTATAAAACGAGTGGCTGGAAGGTTGCCCATGTTTTACATAATTGGAAAATATTCTTCCAGCACAATACTGAATAAGTTAGTTGCTGTAAACGAAGACAAGATTGCATATTTATAATGCTGTACCTGTGAAAGTAGAGTTGAGGTTGCCCATTTGCTCATGTATTCAGCATTTGTAAAGTCAGTTCTGTATATTGTACCATGGCAGCCTCAGGATCTAATACGCAAAGAATGTACGATTTGTTAAACCTTTTTGACAATTGATATTTTGAACTATCACCCACATTTCATTTGCTTTAAATAAAAATATGTAAACGTAAGCGGCCGTTATATTATCTGAGTCCACATTGCTATATATTCGAGTTCAAAGCAGAGAATGTGGGATGTTATTCAGCTGTGCGGAAGGGGCCTTGGTCTCAACAACCTTCCAAAGAACATAAGCTTCCTGAAAGAGAAAAATAAAAGAGTGAAAGTATGGATTCGGGGTAACTTTATTACAAAATGTGTTTGGAAATAATATGTGACACTATTCTGGAGACTGATAATCATATTTTTTTTCTTAGAAATATATTGACTGAACTCTGAATGTCATAATTTGTGCTTTGAACTTTTTGCCACAGATTTCTCACTACATTCATATGCAGAACAAAAAGACATCTTTGAATATTTTGTATCTCTTGTCATGTTAAAAGAACACTGAGGGCCCTTCCAGGCAGGCCCCATATCCCACGATCTGATCCCAGGTATTCTGCAATAAACTGGGTTATATGAATCTCCACTGCCAGGTAGTCTGGGATAAACAGAAAACCTGGGATCAGATGCTGGGATATAGGCCCTGAATGGAAGGGCCCTGAGAAGAGGGGGGTATTTGGCATGAGAGTTACCTCCTTTTCTGTGCAAATGCACTCTCCTCCTTTATACTCTCACCACTATCAGTGGGCTTTCCCCATCTCCATTTTCACCAGCTCACCACCCTGTGCATTCTGATTTTAATTTTTAAAATGTATATGTCACTATATATTTATACACTGCATATGAGGTCCTTAGAAACATAAGAAATGCAAAAAATAACTCCTACTCGAATGCCTCCTTCTTGAAAACCAAATTGCCCCCCGTGGACAGTCTGCTCCACATTGAGAAGGCTAAATACTTTGTCAAACTACAGCTCCCAGGATTCCTTAGTATTTAGCTGTGGCAGCTACAAGTGGTGTCAAACTACATTATTTCTGTAGCATAGATGCATCCTTCAATTTGGGGCGGGGGGGGGGACTTGCATCCTGTTTTGTCTCTTATGTTAGAACTCTCACATTTTTTTGGCTCAAATGATGGTTCACCCTATGGATAGAGGAAAGTGCTCTGTGTGTGCTCGGAGACAGAGGGCTGAAGGAACACCAATACTCAGGATAGGTAGGCTGTTAGGAATTGTGGGACTTGGAAGTTCAAAGCACCTGTAGGGCCGAAGTTTGCCCATGCCAGCTCTTAGAAGTGGTTGAACATACTTTTGGTTAAACCCAAGTGGAGGAGACCTATTGAATCAGTTTGTTAAATGCTTAGTCAACTACCACAACTACTATTTATTTACTTTTTGGGAAAGAAGTCTAAAGCCCTCTTAAAAAATATGCAAATATAGACATTCCAAAACTTTTCTGGTCCCAAGTATTTTAGATAAAGGATAGTGTACTTATGTATTTAGTTACCATTAATCACATTATGGGCATAATTTGTACCATAACCAAATTATTGGTTTGTGTAATAAATGGTAGTAACATGACTAGGTCATACTAGGTTTTTTTTGTAAGTCATCTTGAATTCCATTGTGAGAAAGATGGGATAATATTGTTGTTGTTTTAGTTGATTTATGTTCACTTTCCCCCCAAGTAATCAGAGTCAAGGAGCCTTACAATATGTTAAAACCATGCACATTTAAATTCTGCAAAAACATAATAAAAAGTATAAATATAAAGATTCCTATCAAAGCAGAATAGGCAAAAGTTATTTCCAGCCCTCTGCTTATACCAGAGATTGAAGCTGGGATCATATGTGAGTAAAGGACTGTTACTTAACTATGATTGCTTCCCTTGAATTTTAAGGTATTTTAATGAACTTTTCATTAAGCTCCTGGAATCTTGACTTAGTTTGGATAATGTAAATTTTAGATTAATTTAAAGTTTTACCTTTCTTTTCATGACTGCCAAGTTGAGTGTGTGTTTATTTATTTATTTATTTATTTATTAATGCGCTTGTATACCGCTAATATCTCAGCCTAAATCGGCGACTCATTGCGGTTTACAACAGTTAAAAAACAATATTCAATTTAAAAGCATAAAACACATATACAATACAAGTTATTGGGCCACCAATAACAATCCCGTGCATCTCGTAACTGAAATCGCAATCCAAAATTCGTCGTCCATGATTACCCATGTGTGTTGCCCTCTTCCCTGAAAACTGATGTGATAAATGTGGATGGGGGAGAAATAAACTTTTAAATAATTCTTATTAAAATCTTGTCAGTTAGATTAGTGATACTTCCATGTTTCAGATAGGTGGCCTCGGGCTGCCTTGTCTGTTAATTGCACAGGTAATATTTTAGCATATACTGATTTTGTTGAACCTATTTTTAGAAGTAAGAGTAATTGTTCTGTTTTTCTCCCTTTTGCTCTGTACCTCTTTTCTCAGTATTAAATTATGTGCTTGTCCCTCTTCTAAGATTACTGTTTATTGAATTTAGGAATATAGACTTCCGCTTGATTGCTGATGTGTCGCCTGCGACACTTTGCAATATTCTATTTAGTGCCAATTAGACATTTGGGGCTTTGTAGGAAGAAGGAAAAGTTGTCTTCACAATCAAGGGCTTTTGTTAGGTCAGGGGTGTTTTCTTTTTAATTAAAACTCTGGGAGCCCCTAGTCAGAGCCTGGTGTAAAAGACATCACTTTGAATTAAAAATACTGATCTACTAGGGACTTATTTATGGTCCTAATATGATCAGTGCTCATAGTTCTTTCACATAAATAATGTTTAGTTTTCTGAAGGTTTTTCATTTTAGCAGCATAGCTTGGGAGTAGAGTGGTATTGTTGTGCTGTTAAGGAAACCAGGAGGATCAGATCCTTGAATTCCAGCATAGTGTAGTGTTTTGAGAATTGGATTATGACTCTGGAGACCAGGATTCAAATTTGTGTTCAGTCATGAAACACATTGGGTGACCTTGAGCCAATTGCATGCTCTCCACATTAGAGGAAGGCAAACCTTTTCTGAAAAAATGTTTCCAAGAAAACACTATAGTAGATCTATCATAGGGTCTCCGTAGATCAAAAATGACTTGAAGACCCCCAACAACAACAAGAAATCCTTGCTAGTGTATCAGAGAGTACTTATTTCTGATAGATGAGTAGATCTGCCCTCTGCCAACCTCTGTAGTAGGGTGAAAAGAAAAAGTCAAGTGAAGGAATGAGTATGTTATGAAAAGTAGTATAGGAGATGGCCATGGAGGCAACAACGGCTGCTTCGAGTAGACACAAAGCAGATTGCACCATAAGTTGTGAGAGTGATTAGACATTTGGAGTTTTGTAGGAAGTTTGGAAAGACTTCTCCATGATCACATGGTTTGTGGCAAATCATCGAATCATCGAGTTGGAAGAGACCACAGGTCCATTCAGTCCAAGAGTCACTTTTGTCTCTGCCCCAGAGTTTAACAATAAGTCACAAACACTCCTAGCACTCTTCAGGGCTCACAGGAGAGATGGGTGTATAATGGGGGCATAGACCCAAATGGCAATGGATGAACTAATATGATGAGTTTAGGACTTCACTTTCTCTCAATGGCGCCATCTTAATATCCTTTGTTTTTATTATGCCTTTCTAATTTTTCACCAGTGCTGTACCTGACACACCAGATTAGTGCAGATTCTTAAATAGTAATATTGGTTATATGTTGCATTAACTGCCACACAGCCTGCACATTTATTGAACCACCATTGTACAAGCATTTGTGTACAGTTCCAACTAGTTTTTACATATCATTTCCCATTCAGTTTGGTAGCTGTGTATTTATTATTTCCTATATTTAATAATTGCCCATACTTTTTTTCTTTAGCTTGTGAACCTTCCATGTTCTCTTTATTATGCCTTGGTCAGTTCTCCTGGTCATCACAGTCCCAGAGCAATTGCACTGTCATTATATGTGTGTGTGAGAATGAGTCATCTAACTCTCAGTACTTACAGTATCATTTCTGGAGAGTCTTTCATAATCTCTCCAGTAATAATAAGACACTAAGATCATTTCAGCAGTATTTACATTCAAGTTTATCCTCTCAACAAATCTCCCTGCATGGCTTGTATATTGGGAAGATAAGCTCCTCCATGTGAGACAAATAGATAAACGGGGCATTAGTGACATAGTGCTAAAATGAAAATAGTCTGAATAATGCTAAAATAAATGCAGTTTTACACCGTTTTAAGAGACATGGCTTGGTGCTATGGAATCATGGGAATTGTTGTCTTTAAAGGTCTGTAGCCTTCTCTGCCAAAGAGTGCTGTTATCTCACCAAACTACAAGTTCCAGAATTCCACAACTTTGAGGCGTGGCAGTCAAAATGGTGTCGAACTGCATTAATTATACACCATAGATGCACCCTTAAAGTAAGAATCTTCTGAATGACTCATTAGGGCAATCTCCCTTCTTTATGCACCAAGATTGTATTAAATTGGGTGTTGAGCTCTGGGGGTGCTCAGAGATCCAGGAATCCCCACAGTCCATAGGTCAGGTACGTCTTCCTTGTGAAGATGAAATGCCACATTTAGAGTGGTTAACTATTCTGAAATCTTGAATTACCTTTTCTTTGGCAGGGTTTAATATTCTGCACTGTGTAATTTGTTTGATGGCCAATAGAACAACCTGAGCAATACATACTGCCCCTACCCTGAAGTCGACTATGTATTGTATGCTTTCCTTCACTGCTCATTCGTATCAGGCAAGAGGGCAAGAAAGATCTAATGTATCCTTTGCTGTTTTTCCCATACGACTGTCTTGAGGCTTTTTTGCTCTAAGAAGCCAAGTCAGACACTGAGCAAATAGCTAATTTTATTTAAAAAAAATGTTACTTAGAATCATAGAATCAAAAAGTTGGAAGAGATCACAAGTCCAACTCCCTGCTATTTAGAAACACAGAATATGAGGTGGAAAACTCTTTAGATGCTAGAGTATACTGTACTGCTTACGACTGCAGGTCAGTATTTATTACATTTTTAAATGCCCCCTTCAGAATAAATTCACATTTTGGCTGGTCTTTATGAGAACCCTGTGAGATGGATTAGGTTGTGAAAAATTTAGACAGTCCAGTTCATACAGTATATTTTGAAAATGAGCAAGGATTTGGTTTCGGGGAGGCTCTAGTCTCCATTGAACATGTCTAACTATATCTTTGAAGTTGCAGTGTTTTGAGGACTCACCATTTAACCAATACTGTGACAATTCTCTTCTCAGATATGGCCCCGTACTATGAATCCCTCTGCAAATCTCTCGACTGGCAGATAGATTCCGATCTCTTAAGCAAGATGAAGAAAGCAAATGAGGATGAGCTTAAGCGGCTTGATGACGAATTGGAAGATGCAGAGAAGAACTTGGGAGAAAGTGAAATTCGTGATGCCATGATGGCCAAAGCAGAGTACCTCTGTCGGATTGGGGACAAGGTAGGTGCCGGGCTCAGATTGCATTAAGCATTGAGTGATTGCACTGGATTATGTTCATGTGTTCCTCTAAGTAGCATCCTGAGACATGCTTGGCTGGGATGTTCTCTTTTGAGGTCTTTATGACTATCAGAGTAATTATCACGTGCATACTGAAGATAAGATGATAGGAGGCCTTGCTTCTGCACCAGTGAGTTGACTGTCTTTCAGACAGAAACTTGTGGCTATTTAGGGCCAAATTTTATTTGGCTTATACTTTCACTGTTCATCAGCTGCATACAATCAATTGGAATCTGGTTTCTGGAAATTTATGGCAATAAAAGATGTTATAATTTTTAAAGCCTTAGTAAATGGTAACAAGCAGCATATTAATCCTCACAGTCGTCCATGAATTAGTAAACAGTAATGGTAACCTATCAAAAATATAATGGCAAACCTATTGTTGAGGGGTCCCAAATTCTAGTCTACAACAACAACAAAACTTTATATACCGCTCTGGCTCCCCGAGGGGACTCAAAGCAGTTTCCAAGTAACATCATTAATACATACAAAGTAAACAACATAAACATAAAATTAAAAAGACAATATAAGCATAAAAAATCACAATATCACATGTGTATTTAAAATAATTCTGCCTATTCAAGGCAATTTAAAAGGCCAGGCCGAGGCTAATGCATTTGTAGAGGGCCCGGGAAATTAGGTAGAATCTATGGCTGTTCGTTTACGGGGCCTAATAGGAGGAAGTAACCTGGGTAATTGGTAGAAAAAGATATGGCCATATTCAACAGTATCTGGGGCTGAGCTAGAACTAGTCATTCTCAAAGGCTTGTTTAAACCACCAGGTCTTCAGGCTCTTATGAAAGAAGGGGAGGGATGGGGCCTGTCTTATTTCTCTAGGAAGGGCAGAGGGGGGGGGGGGGCACCACTGAGACTCAGCCTGTGTAGACTCAGCCTTAGTCATAGCCTGAGAGTTGTTCCTTGCTTGTATGTGCCACTAACCTGTCATTCATCAAAACCTCTCCATATGTTTTCATGTTATATAATGTTGGACATTAGCATTTTTTTTTAGTGTGTCGGAGACTAGTAGCATATTTGTGTCTATTGGTATCACCTGATCCCATCTTTCCTGCATTTTTTTTAATAACGTGGTAGTCAGTAGCTCACAAATTGACACAGCACTTTGCATAGCACTAGAAAGTGAGGAATTGTCTCTTACTCCTCTGGGTTTTGGAAAAAAGTACCTGCTCCAGATATCAGTATTTTAGAGAAGCAACCTGCCATGTAGGAAAAGTGTCTCTGCTCCAAAGCTCAGCTTGACATAGAAGATCTCTCCTGTATTCCCTGTATTTTACACTGGTGAGAGGATCTGAGGGAATGCAGCCTTCACTCAGAAAATCAAGGGGATTAAAACCGGATTGAAAAACAGTAACATCTTTCAGATTCCAAAAGATGTTGTCACGACTGATTTACTGAGCAGTGGCCTCCTTTTCCATACACACCCATTTTGCTCCATGGTAAAATGTGGTGCAGGATTGTGGATATTGCATGCGTGGGCAAAGTCTGTCTGTTACCAAGGCATTTCTGTGGAGTCTAACATTAGCAAATGTTACATTGGTAGGAAGCTGCTCTGACAGCCTTTCGGAAGACATATGACAAAACTGTGGCTTTGGGACATCGGCTGGATATTGTGTTCTATCTTCTCCGAATTGGCCTGTTTTATATGGACAATGACCTCATCACACGGAACACAGAAAAAGCCAAAAGGTATAATTTCTTTTTTCTTTAGAATAGAGTGGAAGGGTGTTCATTTTATGGGCCTAATCCAGGCTTCAGCGGTCTGGAAATACCTTTCCCACTCTCCAGACATGCCAAGCTCCTCTTTTCAGAGCTGGGCACATTCCTCTGAATATATTTCACTTCCATTTAGAAAACTTTTGGTGGGATGATCTTCCTCTAATGTCAGGTTGGCAATAGGATTTCCTTTATTCCCCCTTGGAACCAGTTAGACCAATGGGGTTTCTCTTTGCCCTGCTTTTGTTCCCTTGTTAGCTAGACAATGCTTTTAATAAGTATTGTTGCATTCTGTACTACTATTAATTGCATATGAAGTTAAATCATTAATTAGTGTGTAAAGAGATATTTGTAATCCCCCTTTCCTACAACCTGCACAGATTTTAATTATGGGGTTATTGTGACATAAATTTGGCATAACCCAAATCTTCATTGACTTAGCTGACCAAAGCAAATATTTTCTAGATGTCATCCCCTAGAATGGCCTATTTACAGGTGTGACTTTTGTGGGATTCATTATTCATGTATTTGATTTAAATGCTCTCTCTAGAAACCTCTAGGTCTTCCAGTTTGACTTTGTGCTCTGGAAATTAATTATGGAGTCATGCCAGAGGGCCTATAGCAAGGACATCTCTAGGAATATATAGGTCCTTCAGTGCAATTTTGTGGTCTGTTTCCAGCAGAAATCGACTGTAAAGTTGTGATGGAGGACCTAGAAATTCCTAGAGAGATGTTCTCCCTCCCCAGTGGCATTAGATCAGCCCTCTCCCTCATAGCCTTCAGAGGGAAAGTAAAAACTTGGCTTTCGGAAAATAGTGCAGTGAAATAACAAATTTGGAATATATGCAATGACTATGGAATGGCGTGGACTACAATTATGGATGACATGATTCTAGTATTTAATGAAATGTTTTTAAATGCTTAGTATGTATTGCACTAAATTTAATTTTATTTTATCTTAATGTTTTTGGAATTGTATGCATTTTAAGGCATTGAATAATTACCTGTATGTAAGTCACCTTGAGTCCCCTTCGGGGTAGAGAAAGGCAGGGTATAAATAGGGCAAATAAATAAATAAAAATTCCCAACTGTTTTATTTTTCCATTTTAATGAGGGTCCTGTGTCTCTAACTTCAGCGAATGTGGAGGGCTGATTATACATTATACTTTATTTGCCCAAATAGATTAGCTGAGTGGCCGTAGGGCATGGCTTTGTCTGCTTAACTAGCTTTCTCATCTCAGTACATATTTAAGTAGGCGTACACCTTGCTAACAACTGTAGAATGACAACATACCTATCTGTTTTAATAGTTTAATAGAGGAAGGAGGAGACTGGGACCGACGGAATCGCCTCAAGGTCTACCAGGGTCTTTACTGTGTGGCCATTCGAGACTTCAAGCAGGCAGCCGAGCTCTTCCTGGACACAGTTTCTACATTTACATCCTACGAATTGATGGATTACAAAACCTTTGTAACATACACAGTCTATGTCAGTATGATTGCATTAGACAGGCCTGACCTTAGGGAGAAGGTAAGCCAAGCAGCTGCTTTTGCAGAGGACCTGCAGAGCCTGTCTTCCCTTATTCCTCTTATGTCTGAGTTTTGGTTTTTTGCCTTACCTTCTGTAGGTAATCAAAGGGGCAGAGATCCTAGAAGTGTTGCACAGTTTACCCAAAGTGCGGCAGTATCTTTTTTCACTCTATGAATGCCGCTATTCAGTTTTCTTCCAGTCACTGGGTAAGGAATTTTTATTTCTGATCTGTATGACTTCCTAGATGGAAAGTGGTTGTCCCAGAGCTCAAGCACAGGTTGAATATCCCTTACCCAAAATGTTTAGGGCCAGGATTATTTTGATTTTTTTTTGGGGGGGGGGGGGGTTGGAGTGCCTGTATTTGCATAACATACATAGCGCAATTATCTTGGAAATAGGATCCCAAGTCGAAACAAGGCATTGTGTTTCATATGTATCTTATGCACATAGCCTAGAAGTATTCTTTTTCATATTTTAAGTAAATTGTGGTATCAAACAAAGTTTATATACATTGAACCATCAGAAAGCAACCATCCACATGGTTAATTTCAGATTTTGGAGTACTTTGGATTTTGAAATTTTGGACAAGGCATATTCAATTTGTACTATGCTGACTTCCCCAAACTTGGTGAACTATACAGGGGCAGGAGATCTCCCAGAAACAAGCAAAACAAGACATTTAATCCTCATATAGTAGCAGGTTGAACATGTGTGAAGTAAGACAGGGGGTACTTCCTAAGGATCCTCATACTGTATCAATACTGTTTATCTTTCTGCTAAAGCCGAGACATGCTTTCTACCATGTTAGCATTGTTGCATGTGTGCTGAATATTTGAACTTAGTTGGGGGCACTGCACACAGAGAAATTCATGCTGATGCTGGCAAGTACATAGAACAGAACAACATTTCTGTAAGGTTTTATCTTCTATATGTTTCTATATTTCAGCCACTGTAGAGCAAGAGATGAAGAAAGACTGGCTGTTTGCCCCTCACTATCGCTATTATGTTCGAGAAATGAGAATCCATGCCTACAGCCAACTCCTAGAATCCTATAGGTCACTTACACTCGGTTATATGGCAGATGCTTTCGGAGTCTGTGTAGAGTTTATAGATCAGTAAGTATTTTTAAAAAAATCAGTTTCTAAGATTTGAATAGCAATTTCACACCATCTTAGACAACAAGTAACATAATATAGAAAAGGGAGAACCATTAGATTATAAAACTTAAAGACTAGGGCAAGAAACATTTAATGTTGCTGGAATTAGACAAAATGGTGGGAAGGTGGACGCTTCAGCTGAGGTTTCTGTACTGGCAAGAGGTTAGACTAGATTACGGCTTCTTAAACTTTTCCATTTGGGACCCTTTTGGCCCCAGAAGTTTACATGGCCCCAGGTATATAGCTGTTTTAAAACAGGTATAAAAATCAAACTTCTGATAAAAAATCAGCATTTACAAGGCTCGCTAAACAAGCTGGTTTTCGTTTTTATGAAGTACAGCTTGAAGCATCTTTTGCAAAGTCCACTGTAAACACTGCACAACAGATTCATGTAAACATTGAGAACAGCCACTAGGTGACTTTCAGAAACTCCCAACATTGAGCTAAGGGGACCCCATTTGGGGTTGGGACCCAAACTTTTAAGAAGCAGTGGACTAAATTACTCTTAAGCCCTTCCAGTTCTGTGATTCTATTATATTATTAATTGTGACAGGGGAAGAGTCAACCAACCTCCTGCATCTGATCTCTGGCCTGTTATCTTTGATAATGACCATTGTCTGGAGACCAGATTCTTGTTCTGTGGTGAAGGCTCCTTCTTTGGAGGCTTTTAAACAGAGGCTGGATGGCCATCTGTCAGGGGTGCTTTGAATGTGATTTTCCTGCTTCTTGGCAGGGAGTTGGACTAGATGACCACGAGTGTAAGAAAAAGTTCTAACAATTTTTGTATTTTTCTTGAAAACAGGGAACTTTCAAGATTTATTGCTGCTGGGAGATTACACTGCAAAATAGACAAAGTCAATGAAATAGTAGAAACCAACAGGTACCAGTCATTTTTCTTACTACATTTGGGGAAATATGTGGTAGAGTGATAATTACTATGAAATAAGTAGTGCTATATAGAGTTAAATGCTTGCCAAACCCAGTGTAGCTTGTTGTGAACAGGCAGTAACACAGTTATTGGGCTGAAGACGTAAAGCTAATTAAGAGTAGCTGGTGATCTAAGTTCTGGTCCCTGAATGCCAGCTCTTCCTTCTCATTATGATTGCATGCATATAACTTTTCAGCTTCATGTAACCTTCACATTATTTACTTCTCCCAAGACTTGGGGGGAATTTTCCGGGGTGCATCTACTAACTAGCCAAAACTTTGGCCTCACCAAAACAAGTGTATGATCTAAAACACAGGAATGCTATGGGAAGGATTCATATGGTGAACCAACTATCTGTGGCATAAAGCTGCCTGCCATTCCTCCTTGCTTACTATGGAGTACCTGATAACTTTCTAAGGGACACAGTTTGAAAGCCTCTGATGTAGAACAGTTTCCGATTAAATTCTCTCTTCTCTCCCCTCTGTAGGCCTGACAGCAAGAACTGGCAGTACCAAGAAACAATAAAAAAGGGAGATTTGCTGCTAAACAGAGTGCAGAAGCTTTCTAGAGTAATTAATATGTAACTTTTTTATAAAAAAGAAGAAGAAAGAGGAATGCATACAAGAACCACTTTGGAATAATTATTGTTATATAACCTGTTATGCTGTAGTTAAGGAAATGGCAGCCATGGTGTAGGTAGGAATTTTACAGGCTATTTCACTGTGTAAACAACAGAACTGTATAAATGTTCCGTTCGTGTTTTCAGATCAACTTCATTTATTAAATGTATAATACAACTGACTGTTCTTCTCTTTGGGGGGAGAAGGTTGCATTTGTTTAATGAGCTATTTAAAGCTGAGGGGTTTCAGGGTTTTTTTTTAATGTAAAGCTTTCTCATCCAAGAGTCAGTAGTGCTGTAAAGAGAAGATTTGTAAGCTTGATTTGAGGGCCTGATCTTGTGAAGTCAATTGGGGATAAATCACATTGAAGTGTGAGTAAGCATACCTAAGACTATCTCATAACAGAATGGGAATTAGGTGGCTCTTATACTGCAATTCCCAACAGCCCTAACAAACATTTCCAGTGGGGGAGAAACACTTGGCGGTGAAGTTCAACACATATTTTCTCCTACGCTACTTGCAGTTTCTCAAGTCGCTCCTGACACAACAAAAAAAAAGGGTAACTTTTTGATGCTGTGAAGGCCATTTAATGCTGTGCTTGAACAAGATTTCAGAATGAAACTGTTCTCAAAAAGAACTTACTATGGCAGCCAGTTCCTCTGGCCAATTAATAATATAATAGTAAATTACTGTATGTGCTCATGTATAACTTGATCTTATGTATTAATTGAGGTCAATATTTGGAGCCAAAATCATGGATTTTGATATTAGCCGGGATAAGTTGAGTCATTCTTCAGGAGGGGGAAGCACGAATGCCACTTCAGGAGTCATTGCCCTTTTCCATTTCCCCATCCAGGCATTCAAGAAGGCTAGAAGTGGGACCATGGCAGAAAAGGTTGAGGGGGTTGGTGCTTCTTTTGAGTTCTTCCAGGACAGACCGAGCCCTTGCCTTTTGCAACTCTACTCAGAAAGGGATTGTTCCTCTTTTGATAAGAGTTTAGGTACAGTACTTACTCTGATCTGTTGATCAGTCCACCCAAGTTTTTTGGGTTGATTTTTGACTAAAATTTCCAGACTTAACAATTGTATTGGATATGTTACTTTAAGATGCTGATGTGCAAACGCTTGTGAGCTTCTAGTTGAAGTCTTGAGGGTGACAGGTGAGGAGACTCTTTAGTAGTAACTAAAATGATACCAAATGCTGAAGTGTGAAAACACTGGGAGTTAAGATTAGATGGCACAGAGCAGTTAAAGAAACGTGTGTAAGAAAAATGCAAAAGCAAAACTGCTATACGATGTGGAAACCAGAGTTCTTGAAGGCATACGTTTAGCGGGTAATCAGGAGATGGCAGGTGAGATGCAAAAAGGTCAAACGGTGCATCAATGAGGTTGGTATAGTTGGTATTGTACAGACACTACCTTTCTGGTTCAAAGCTGCTGCTATCTTGGCCATGACCTCCCATGTCTGCATGAAACATAAGGGAGGCATGTTGGCTTCTCATGCTTTCTAATGGAAACTTAGGTTATCTTGATTTCGAATGCATTGCATTAGATGCCTTGATCCTATACAGATAATACTTGATAGACCGCATAAAATGTACCATTGATGGATCTCTTTGTGAGGGAACCAGTACATTTGGACAAAGTTATAGTTGAAAATAAATGGCTCTTGGAGGTCACCTTGTATAACCTGCTGCTGAATGAATGCAGGATGTGGCAATAAGGATCCTTGTCAGATGAATCATCTAATGCTGCCTTGATCAAGTGGTTTGTCCAGTACATACTCCTGCCTTAAAAACTCATCTCAGCCATTCTGAATGAACTAACAAAACATGAATAATTCAATAATTCTCTTGAGAAAGCCTTCTGCGTTCTTTTAGGATTTCCAGGCTTTCATATATTAAAAGGATCAGCAAATGTTTTTAATCTGAATTCCCACTGAATCCCTGGTGGCTTTACTACTGCTTTCTGTACAAAATGTTTTATGGTGAAACACACACAGCTCAGCATAGGAAACAGTAAGGCCCCTGAGAGCTTGTCCTTAGTTGCCACTCAGAACACCTCTCAATCCTATGAATAGAGGACTGAATGGTGTCTATAGTACAAACTTGTGGGAGGAACTAGTAGACTCTAGGCATTTACGGTTCTGGCCTTTGTAGATTTGATTGTTCATGGACTTCATTAAAAATGTTCTATGAATCGCTAGGGACATCATCACATGTAATAAAAGCAGCATTCTTACACATTTAAGAAATTGCAAGTCTCTGAGTAGAAATGGGCAATATGGCCAATTTCCCTGTGTGATGTTAATCCTCGTTGTTCGCTTGTAAATAAAACTGACACCCTATGGGGGAGGAGCTGAGATGCCCATTTCCCTGACGATCGCCAATGCAGAGGCTTGGGGAAAGATGAGGGTTAATTTAAAAGCACTTCCTAGCGATCCGGGATGGTATTTTTTTTTAATTGAAATCCTGGAGGGACCACGGGAGGAAATAACACTCTACTGTGTAATGGCAAATAAAATGGATAAATCCTAAAGACAGTGGAGAAAAGAGGGTATGATGGGGCAGGAAAATAATCAGTTTAATTTTCAAACGACTTTGCAAAGCTTAAGGGAAAACCAACGATCCCAAACACTTTACTTATCCTGTGGGATGAAGTCATCAGTCTTTCAGTTGCCTCTAGTCATACTGGAGGACCTAGAGATTTCAAGAGAAAACACCTCTAGATCCACCAATACAATTCTATAGTCAACTTCCAATCGAAGTTGACTATAGAGTCATGCTGAAAGACCTTAGAGAGGACCTCCTTTCCAAGGGGTCCTGTGCCCCTTACCCCAGTGAATGTAGAGAGCTGACCATACTCATTTCACGGTGAACAGGATGATCCTTGTGCACAATTATTTCCCCACTTTGCTGGACTCCCAAAACCTGGATCCGTTTACATCAATAACTCTGTGGTTTCCCACCGTGCGAATGAAAAAGGAGTGTTCAATTCCTGGCTGCAAGACACACAGATCCCTTCCACATTTGAAGTCCCAGTCTTGTCAAGAGGCCAACAGCCTCCTTAAACCTTCTAAAATCCAGGGAGAAGTGGAGAATATCCATTCACCTTCATAACATGAACTGCCTTATATCTTAGCAGAGAATCACGTAAGACAGGCAATCTGATGCTTAGTAGAGGTAAAGGTCTTCCCCTGACATTAGGTCCAGTCGTGTCTGACTCGGGTGTGGTGCTCATCTCCATTTCTAAGCCAAAGAGCCGGCATTGTCCATAGACACCTCCAAGGTCATGTGGCTGGCATGACTGCAAGGAGCACCGCTACTTTCCCACCGGAATGGTACCTATTGATCTACTCACATTTGCATGTTTTCAAACTGCTAGGTTGGCAGAAGCTGGGGCTGACAGCAGAAGCTCATGCTGCTCCCCGGATTCGAACCTGCAACCTTTTGATCAACAAGCTCAGCAGCTCAGCGCTTTAACCCACTGTGTCACCGGGGCCTCTGATGCTTGCAGAAGGCTAAATGCTTTTATCATATACACTTAACAGGTATCCTCTTCTATCTTGAGATTCAACTGCTATGATCCTTGCCATTCATAAATCCCCTAGGATTTATCTCAAAAGTGGTGTTTAAGGAGAAACCCAAACCTGCTCCACATCACACTGATTTGCAAACCGAAAAATACGGAACTCGCCCCTCTTCAACCATTCTTCATTGGCTTCATTATGAAGCAGAAACGTAGTGTGCACCTCATAAAGACACCCTAATGATTTTATTGTCTTGTTTCAGTCACATCTTGTTTATTCAACAAGTTAATTTCCTGGTCATGAAGCAAAAGCACAACGTTTTTCTTATAAATAGTATAAATTATTTTATTTACAGAAACTTGTTACAAAACAAATAGACTATATATTTCTCTTCTTTTAAATATCCAAAGTAATTTTTTTCTACCCCATGACATTTGTTCATGTATTATACAGCAGCCAACACAAAAGTTCAGCTCTGAGCAGATGCTCTTGAATATGTATACAAATTATCAAACTATTCACACATTTTACACAGGAGATTGCTTCCCCACCCCTCTCTGTGGAGCCAGGCTCAACTCCAAAAGCAAGAAGCTTCCATGGCCTACATTCTCATTGACATTATGTAGTGCTCATTAAAAATAATAATAATAGTAATCACCTTTCATAAAAAGTAGGATATTTTGCACAAAGCAGTTAAAATAACAGGTTTTCTGCTGAAGGAAAGCAAAACAATCTTTTTTTCAAGTCAAATCCCCTTCACCATACAATTCCCCCATTTTACCCAAGAGACAAACAGAAACAAAAGAATCCTTGGCAATAGTAACTCTTGCCGGAAGACAACTTACCGGAAGATGATGAGTTGGAATCACACTAGGAACACAAGCGTACTGCGAACCTCTCCCATTCAACCCTCACTTGAATGGACAGGAAATTGTGCCGTTGCAGAATTCCCCATTCATTTCCCATGAAGTTTTTTTAGACAAGACAGAGGTTGCTGATGGCCCGTGTTGGTAGTCTGCAGATTGCTTTGAGAGGTAACTTATCTTTTTCCCATAATACAAAATAATGTCAACATTCTGTATCTAAAGTTCTAGCCGATAACAACAGAAGAACAGTTATTCAAATTTTATTAATTGAATATATCTCCAGAACCTTTGGCATTATTTATGAACTGGGGACTTGCTTCAGACTGGTCTACTGCTTTGCTTCACTTTTTCTTATTCCTCTCTGTCTACTGGAAAGTTATATGTAGGTGGGAAAAGCAAGCTCCAATTTATGTTTTTTTTTAAACAGAACATTCAAGTCTTTAAAGGAGAAGCTGTCTAAAAAACAGTCCAAGCTTAAAATCTAGATATATAAATCAGGCACTTTCAGTTTTCCATTAGTCTGAAACCATGTAAAGACTCTCTCTCTCAGACACACAAAGGTGCACGCATGTGGGCACGCACGCACACACACACACACACATGTACACACATACTCATACAAACAAAATGCTAAAAAGAAAAAAAAGCAGTGTGTCACAACTCAAATGTTGTCTTCTGGGACTCAGGCAACTGTAAGCAATGTTGTGTATACAGAGCAGGCCAACAATTTGCAACCGGATGTCACACAGTCTCACTGCTTATAATAGGCATGGGCAAACTCAGGCCCTCCAGGTGTTTTGGACTTCACCCCCCACAATTCCTAACAGCTAGTAAGCTGTTAGGAATTGTGGGAGTTGAAGTCCAAAACACCCGGAGGGCCGAAGTTTGCCCATGCCTGGCTTAGAAGGAAAGTGGCGCCTGCAGGCCCCGGACTGCAGCGTCTGGGCCTTCCTTTGCATCCAGCAACTCCCAAGACATTAAAATAAGGGACACGGCCCTCCCCACTTTCCAAAGCAGAGGCATCCCTTAAAAACTGCAAATCGGCATGTTAAGCTATTGGCTTGGCAGTGAACCACTTCAAATGATAAAAAGGGTATTTGCTTTTTTTCTTTTTAATTAATAAATACTAGATGATTTTTTTCAATTGTACCAAAAACTGGATATAAGAAAAAAAGACCTGTGCAAAAATACATATTTAAATATGTACAATCAATTAACAAAATATGTCTTCTGAAATAGGGATACTTCAATATTTATAATAGAACAAGAAATTCCAAAATAAAGATACAAAAGTATGGGTTTCATTATTTCATATAATTCTTTGTTCATCATTGCAACAATTTTTTTCCTTTTAGGTTAAGAAAACTGCAGGAGTCATCATGAGAAGCTGGAAAGACTATAAAAACTGTATCTTAAATTAATACCAAAATCTTTCTAAGAAACAACCCAGCCACTGCAAATCTCGCAAGATAAATTAAAATTTTGAAATTTCCTTAATTATATATACAGTAAGAATGTGGTCAGTCAGACATTAAAAGCTTCAAAAACAATGATTCCATTCATTACTTAAGCTCCCCAAATGGAATATTGTTTGTATCATAGTTAAGCAAGTCTACACTGTGAGGGCAGGCATAAAGTTAAGATGTCCTCTAGCTCTCTTCATGGCAATTTTTAAAATCCTAAGCCATTGCAGACAGGTATAGGACACAATTCCACCCTGGAATGTCTCTTACATAATTGCTTCCTCCACAGATTTGTGCAAGAGCATGGCTGTGTTTGTATGTAGCTCCCATCTTGGTCAACATGGCTTGTAATACAGACATTCACAGTGGGAATTGGGTCCAAGGCTTCAACCCATTTCAATTAAACACAGTGGTTAATGACAAGACTTTTCATACTGCATGTTTTTTCCTCTCCCAAGAAGCCTGGGACTTGCTGTGATCTTTTCATAGCAATATAATATTTATAAAACAAACTTTTTTTAGTACTTAAAGCCACTCAAGTTTCAACTTATGAAAAAATCTGTTGGCCTTCAAAGGTAAATCTATCAAAACCAAATTGCACTTGTGATTGAAAATATCCAACACATGGGATGGAGCCTGCATTGATTTTTCTCTCTCTCTGCAGAGCAGATGCACTACTTTGGTTGTACCCTCCCCCTCCCCAAATAAGCCAATTCACAATTGGTTTTTTTTTAATTTACAGGATCCTTGATAAACTGAGGGGTTGTTTAAAACTCCCCCCCCCCAGCATGCAGTCATTTTAAATATTTGCATAATCATCACCATTCAAAAGTATTTTCTTTTCCTTTTCTTAAAAAAACAACAACACATGATCTTTTGTGATTTCAAGGCTTTAGAGTTGTCTGCATAGAGTCTTGTTGCTTCACTGTGTTCTAGCAATTCAGTAGCAAATTTTGCGTCGATTTGGAAAAACCTCAATAGTGAAAAAAAAAGCAAAGAAAAATCCCAAGCAGCTCTGGCTGCTGCTTCTGGCGGCTTTACAATCCCTGATGTGCAATTTGCCACCGTAGGAGGGAGAGAGGCTGGGCTGCGGGAACGAGATAGGCTCAGATTGTCTAATCTCAGCAAGATCTGGTGGCCCATTAAGGCTGAAGTCTTCAGGCACGTTCCATTGGGAGCTACTCCTGCACAAGCCCAGTTGGGTCAGTTCAGACAACACCTTTTCTTCCTCAGGCTCTCCACTTTCGGGCCACACAGTTAAAAGAAGTATGGAAAGCAACCAGGACTACTGTATTTCTTCAATTCTAAGACACAGTTTCCTCCCTATATAAACATTTCTAAAGTTGTGGTTGACCTTAGCATTGTAGGTGCATCTTAGAATTTTTCCATGCTTTGCAGACGAAACTGTAGTTTGTTTTTATGTGGAAATTGCACTTCCAAATTTTATCATTATTGCTCCATCCTGCTCTTACTATTTCAATGTTGAACAAAGTGGCATGCTCTGCAAGTGTGGAGTCACCATTATTTCATTATACTGGATCTTACTCTGTGACAATTAGGTAGTTTGGGATGTATCTTTGAAACCACATATGCGAACAGTTGAGTACTATATTTTGCTCATTTCGATCCCAAAATGTTGTCAATAAGATTGCACTACAAAGCCACACTGAAACAAAAAGCCATTGTGTATACTGAAGAAATTCTAAAAGATATTCTAAGAATTTGTTTTAGAAGCAAAGCTTTTTTATCGTTATTGATGATACTGACATTAGTGTGCATGTTAGAATCAAAGAAATACAGAAGGTGATCTGACAAGTATCCCAAGGTGCAGTGGGCTCTGTAGCTGCCACTCGGAAAAGGCATGGAAGTCTAGCATGCTGAACAAAGCCCAAAGCTAGTTGGTGTTTCCCAGGCTAAGTTGCCACTTACAAGAAAGAGCTCACTGGGGAAGAAATGGCTGTCTGAACTCACAATTCAGCACACATTCCATTAAGTCAACAGGAAATGTGGGTTTTTTTGTACATACATATTTGCAGTAGGAAAGCCCCTCATTGATTATACCCTATGGTTTCGGACTGATACTTTTTTTCCTTTTGACATTCCAGGTTGTATTTCAAGGTCCCTAACTGCTGGATAGAACCAGATCAAAAGAGAATATTAAAGCCCTTCTAAGTTTTGATCCCACCCCTTAAAAAAAAAAAAAACCTCATGAGGTTAAATGAGCATCCGGGATTAGATAACACGTCTAAAACACTCCCCTGTTGTGTACAGGATGGTGACACAAGGGTGCAGTTGAACACTGAGCTCAGAGTTTGAACTGGCACTTAATGCAGTCATCAGAATAATCTGAACACAGACTTTAAAAAATGGGATGATGTGATCAATTTACTGGGAAGTATTTCTACAGGAAGAAAAAGCAAAGAAGCACTGAAAATTCAGTGTCTTAAACTGTTTCAGTTTAGTGAGTTTGTGTTTCAGTTTTGTATTCCTCCCCTGCTCCAAGGGTTGGATGGTACAACCAACTTCCATTGGCATTTCCTCGTTTCCCCACCCACCTGCTCCAAACAACAAAGGCTTATGGCATACAGTATAGGTCAAGAAACGTTTTCTTTGGGAATAGTTTTAGAGGTCATTCGCCATTCTGGATCTAAAAGTGGTTAACATATGTTTTAAAATCAAAGCAATTTTGTTTAAAATCAAGCAGGCGCAGCGCTCATCCAAACAATGCCACAATGCAGCCTCCATTCATTTCCATAGACCTTGTAAAGGATCTCCCCACAGGAATAAACAAAGGCTGTTCAGTAGCTGCGCTTGGTGGGTGCTGCCCATAAAATTATTCTGTACCATGTGATTTCATTATTGAAACATGCTTTTTCTTTTTGAGTGATGAATGCATCATGCACTAAAAAGAAAGAGCATGTGTTTGTTTTTTAGAACTCCTGACAGCTTCTTATCCCAAATTGTTTTTATCCCAAAATGCTGGACAAATGTCGACTTTGTTTTTAAATTGTGCTATTTTTGCATTCCAATCAAGGAACATTGCTATAAAACACTAAAGCCATATTCCCTTCTTGAGGGCTTCTTCTTCTTTTTCTTCTTCTTCTTTTTATTGTGCCTAACACATTGTGCCCCCTTCTTGAGGGGTTTTCACTGGTGTCAACCTGGCAATTAGTTATGCCTACGACACCGTCAGAAGAAAAGAAAAAAACAAGTCCACAGTAATGTTCTTCCCCAAACTTTGCTTTGCCCAACCAATCTAGATCAAATAGTGGCAAGTTGATGTATTCCTGTAAGTAAAATCTGACAGGGATTTGTAGCAAGAGGTCCAGACCACGGGTAACACTGATAGGAACAATCCTGTGGCTGAACAGCAATCCAGTGTCCATTTCCAAGCTTCGCTGCTACAGACATGGCTTCAGGAAAACTCCTTGATTGGGTGACAGTCCAGTAGATTTCCACACCTGAGGACCGCGGGAAATTGGGAGAACTCAAAAAGGCATCTTGGAGTCCAGAATTTCCAGATGGAGATTTTTTTTTCCGCTTGTAGTGAAAATAATCCAGTTTTATCATGGTACTGTCAACTGTTAGGGACGAGCCTTTGGCTTTTACACAAATGGAGGGAAAGGGGAAAAAAGAAAGGGATAAATGAATAAATATGAAGAGATTCAAGTGATAAAGCCATACTCAGTGATGTAATCTAGATTACTAAATATATATACTTTCACAAATCCAGTGATACATGTAATCACTTGATAGTTTGGGAGTGAAAACTATTCCCATTGTATTACCATCAATAATATTTTTAGAAAAAGCTCTGAGTTGTAAGTGAAGCCTGAAAATAGCCCAAGGGCAACACATTCCACCAGTTCTCTGGTTAGTACTTGAACGGAAGACTACTAAGAAAAACCAGGAACAGGCAGACCACATCTGAGTATTATGAAAACCCTATGAAATTCATGTGGTCTCTGTAAATTGACAAATGAAGATATACGCACACATACACTGTGTTGAAAAAAAGAATTAACCCATATTTGATCTCTTCTTATGAGACATGAGAAAGCACAGGCATAATTACCAAGGCTTAATATGCTAACTGATCAATAGCATGACTTTGTTCCATTGGAAATCCTACCACTGGTCCAAATGTCATCCTCCGCTCAGTTTGTTTTTTACTGTGTCAAACTAACCATGGGCAACATTTCCGCCTTCTACAAGCAAGCTACATGTGGTTGCTGACTTCATATGTATAGTATATTTACCAAAACGTATGGCTGATTTGATTTTTGAGACTTCTAAGCTGCTTATGTCTGATTCAGAGCCCATGGATTACACTGGCCAATACATATTTTGGTGCCTCAAATGTTACCCATTAGCATATGATCAACTGATTCCAAAAAGGCATCAGTTCCGCTCTATCAGCTCTAGTTTTTGAGATACAGAATGTATGCCATATACCAGTCACCATCTGCTGGCCCATAGAAAATCATGATAACCATATTTTAAAAACTAGAGCTAATGCAGCCTATCAAATGCTATTTTTTGAATCTGTGTTTCATATGATTCCAGTAACAGGTCTAAAAACCAAGACACTAAGACTTTTTTTTGAGCTGGGCTGCATTATCTGTTGCTGGCTGTGATAACCAAATATCCAGAGATACTTGGCTATCTTTGCCTTTCTAGAATTGATCACAGGAGATCTTGTTAAGTCCTGAAGGAAGGTGACATTTCCTACTCAGTCCCAATCGCAAAAGTTTGAATAGAATGATTTATGCAACCAATCATCATTGTGGAAGAAATGTTGTGAAAGAATAGTTGAATTTTGACCCTTAAATAGTCCCTCCAGTTCATGATACAGACAACCAAAGATATCCATAATTGATTTTTCAGCCAAGACAAATACAGGCAGCCTTTGAAAATGAGTTTGATGAACAATAGCAAATTCATCTGCATATAGATTTAACTTAAAATGTCATACCTGATGAAGGACAGAATTGTTCACCAGTCCTTGCGTCCCTGGGATTGCACCAGTGTGTTTTGTGTGAATGTTGTTCACCGGTGGCAATTTGGCAACCTTGTTTGCTTTGCTGCTGCTGTTTATGCTGCTTGAACCAGGCGAGCACTTTCTTTTCTTTCCTATTAATTTATCTAGGGAAGGATGTGAATGTGAAAACCCGCTGTGCGAGTTTACACTCAGTTCGCTGGACTGGTGGATGAACGGCCCCAACGAAAGGGTGGAGTCACCGCTGTTCACCATCACACTCATTCGTTTTATCGATTCTGCAGGGCTCCCAGTTGGAGGGCCCCTCCCTGATTGGTCATGTTTGAGGCTAACCGAGTTAGCTTTACTAGTCATACAATTGAGGCCAACACTGTGGGATGAAGACATCACAGGCGAGTGATAAGAAGCCCCCGAGTTTCCAGAGTTAACCACACAGTTTTTCCTAAAGGACTCTGTGGAATGAGAAGAAGGTGCTGGCAGCGCAGAACTGTTTTTACGTTTCTTTCCTGAGCTGCCGCTACTGCTGTTGCTACTGGTACTGTTACAGTTGGCGCTGCTAGCGGAAGGTTCCTTAGGCTTAAAAGACTTGCTGGATTTCAATTTCTGAGGTTTGCTGGACAGAGGTGAAGGTACTGAGGAAAGCACTGGAGGTGTTGACGGGGACGTAGACACTTGTCTTGATTGCATACTGCAGGCAGGTTCTGCTGCACCAAAACTAGCAGGGTTGGCATTGAGCGTAGTCCCATGGGAAGGTACTGATTTACCGCTAAGAGATAAACAGGAAGGAGACACAAGCACTGGCGGAGACATAGCTGTGGTGGGTAGGAGGAAACCTGTTGTGCTGGCACCGTATTGCGACACAGGCGTTGAGCTTGTCCGGTGTGGAGCACGTACGGATGCAGTGTTGCTTGTTGCTGGAGGAATTTTCCTGGAGAGTAACGGGGAAGAGATGGCATGGTTTGTAGACAATACTGGTATGAAGTCAAGCATCTTAACTGAGAGGCCTTAAGGAGGAACACTGGATGCATTCATACTCTCTATGCAGCCTCTGAGCCAACTAAAAACCCCTCACAGATCAACTTAGCCTATCAATGCTTTGTTTTTTCCAGAGTGACAAATCCTTGATAAACATTCTAAATCCTGAGGTATGAAATTGGTAAAGCGTGACTAGATCTGTCCTCTTTTTGGAATCAGCCCTTTTCTACCACTAATAGCCTCTTGTGGAGGATGCTGACAACATTTTCATGTTGAAGAGAAAGGGGCAAGAAATAATTCTAGAGTCACAGGGCATAAAATACATCACAACTGTGACCATGCTTATGCTATGTTTCAGATACTTCTGAGTCCAAATGATATATTTACCCATCCCAGTTTTAGACTGTGCAAATGAATAAGACACTGTTGTATCTTCAGTAGGTAACAAAATCTAGACAACTAATCCTAGTCAAAATGGGATTGATAAGTCTCCTTCTCTGTACAGTTTTATGTATTTATTTGCGACATTTATATGCTGCCCTTCTCACCCCGAAGGGGACTTAGAGCAGAGCTTTACCATATGTTTCCCTAGGTTTCCTAGAGGTAATCGTAACACCAGACATGAACCAAAAAATTATGGCCAATTTCAGATATTTTACAAACAATATTTCATCATTTTCCCAACATCCAAATGAAAACACAAATTTTCTTCTTCTTTGAGTATGTAAGCAACGTAATTTGACAATGAGACACACTGCAGTTTCTTCAGTTTGTACTCACTTCCACATCTGCGAGTTAAGATGCTTGTCCACCATGACATTAAGTGCACATCGGATATGGTTCCATCGTCTGTCGAACACGTAGTAACCTCTTCCAATTTGTCGACTACCAAATGTGCAAAACTGGGGGAGGGAGGAATATTCGTAAGAAAAATTACAGCAAATATAAACCAATGTCTTCACTTTCTCTAAGTTCTCCAGGAAAAATCTAAGGTCAACTTCTCTTGGAGACTGACCACAATCACTCTGGAGGACCCAGATTCCCGAAGAAAAAATAATAATCAAATTTGGCAATAATCAAATCTGCAAAAGCTAAATCTCTAACTTTGGAGGGCCAATTGTAGTTGCAAAAAAAGAGCAACAAATCTGCTTATGTGTGATTATAATACATCAAATCACACGTCAGTGGATCGGGCTGTTATCTTAACTACAGCCCAATAGTTTTGTTGCAAAAGGATTCTCAGAACAGTAAACTGCACCCCACAAAATCCAGTATCTATTTCATCAACCATGAACAATCCAGTCACAAATTTTAAATCCGAACCCACAGATGTATTCTGATGCTCCTCCTTCTACAGAACAAAACCACAAATTTAGAACACAAAGCTGTCGCTCAGAAATGTCAACTAGGATCTTACAGCAGCTGGCTGAGGATGATGATCTGAATAAAGACAATCCAGTTTTTCAACAAGCTCTTCTTTTTCATCACATTCTCCCTCATCACTGGATAACCGAGATGCTGGTTCAGTGGCAGGCAGGGGAGCCTGTGGAGATTCATGGACTGACAGAGATTCACTAGGGGCGTTCCCACTGTGCTGTGTTGGACAGCCTGGAGGCCTTCATAAAGGAGGAATCAACAAATAAGTGCCACATTTCAGACCAATCTACAATGTTTTCTAAAAATACTATTACATACATTTATGCACACATGCTTCAATCATACCAAACACATTTCACAGACAAATGAACATAGTGTATCATGGCTGCACTTATCTAACCTGAAACTCACCCGAAGTTTCTACAAACAGCAGATTAGACCAACATTCGTCAGAAAAAAATATGGTTTTATGATATTTAAGATGAGTATTCAGTCAAGACAATGTATCATAAACAGAGAACAAAATATACTGATAGCCATGAGAAAAATGGGCAGAATGAGAGAAGTACTCTTTAGAAATGTCAAAAATGGACCCAAAATAGCTGACTTGACTTATCTATGGGGTCAATGTCAATACTGTATTTTAACTCTTATTAAAAAAAAACCCATCTCCTTCTATAAGTAGCAATAGATGAGGTGGGAGCTTAGTCCATCCCAGAAAGGCCTGGGTAGGAAAATGGTGATGATGAGGGGTAGCTAGCTACCAGAGGTGACACTAGCATTGACACATTCCCATCCTCAACTTATTCACAGGTCATATCAAAATCCATACTTTTGACACCCAAACCTGCCTTCAACTTATAAATGACATAGGCTTATATGTAAGTAAATATAATGTTGTTCAATTTGATAGTCCTACACATCTTGAGAACCTGCTTTCGTTTGAGTATAATCTCAGAAAAGTAAAATTATTCCTCTCAAATATGTTCTATAAAACTATGGTACATTCCAATTTCTTCTTAAATATATCTTCAAATATGAGGAAACCGAACAAGCTATGTATAGCAAGAATATGCTAAGACTTCTTGAAGTCAAAAGATTCTTCTCTTTTTTTCTCTCCCCCCTTTTTTTTCTTTCCCTCTCAGCCCCTTCTATAACCTTACCCTTTTCTACTGCCCCTACACAATTTGTTCTCACACTTTCATTCTAAACCTATCCTATTGGAGATAATCTTATTCTCAATAAAAACAATTTGAAAAAAATTCACTATTTTTTACTATTTGTATTTATAATTTTAAAAACACACCTACAAAAGGGCAGAGGTGGATAAATCTGGATAAACCAGATACATTTGAAACATAAGTTTCTGTTCTCCATATCTACTGTTCTTGGACCTAAGATATGTCTATAACTGAAGTAGCTAAAAAGTAATACAAAATGTATTTCTGGTTCATAGAACACATTTCTTTTTCTGATCAGTATTTTTACTGTTTAGAAAATAAAAGTTGAAAAAAATCCTGTCAACCAGCTACAAACTGGTCAATACCTTCATAACTATGAACCTTTCTCCCTTGGCACAACCGCTTAATAGTATTTTCACCCAAAGGTTACTAGATAGTGTGTCATTGCTGAAAACATCCTAAAGAAAGTTGACCTCACAAAATACTTTGCAATTTTTCATTGCTGGTCTCCAATTCAGACAGTGACAAGAGAATGCAGTCTTATGATGACCAAACTTTTTTGGTATATTAATGTATTCATGTTTTCCAGTTGTAAAATAGATCACAATGACTTGCATCTAATGAGGATAGCTATATACTGTATTCAGTATTGTTGATGGTACGTCAATCAATGAACACAGAAAGAGGAGTACTGTTGTGCTTGGGCTTCTCGCAGAGAATTGCTTCACCTCTGGGTGACCAGAACACTGGAAGAATAAACCTTTGATCTGATCTAGTATGGTAGTTGTGTTCTTATTTATTCTGAAAACATCTAAGTGTTAACCTCACTTTATAAACCTGCTACTATATGAATTGTAATGAATTCAGACAATTCAGATCTACCAAAGGCTTGGGAGAATACCTGACCTCAGGAATGAAGCACTGGGCCTGGTTAGTACATAGCTGGGAATCCAACGTACTGTATTGTAAAATAACCTCACTGAGTGAGTTGCAAAACTACAGATTTAAGGCCAACAAATAAAGAATGGTGAAGCTACAAAGTGCTTGGCTTTCTGCAGGGAAAGATCTCCACAGTGACTGTAATATTATACTAAAGCAAGGGCCAAACATTTTCAGCACTCATGATGCAGAATGTGACTACTCTCTTGTTCACCTGCATATTGTCAGATTCACAGAATCACAGAACTGGAAGAGACCACAAGGGCCAGCCAGTCCAAGCCCTGCTGCCATGGAAGAACACACAATCAAAGTATCCCCAATGGATATTCAGATTTTACTTACCTTGGAAGACTGGGGGTGTGAGGTTTGGGTTTATTAGGTACTAAAGGCTTTGATTCTGTAGGATTAACTCCATGAGAATTTTGGTGCAGCTCCTGGGAAGTTCTTGAAGGTGAGGGATGTGGTTCCCTGAGAGGGGGCATCTGCTGCTGATGATGATCCAAATGGCGCAGTAATTCTTTTTCCCTGGTTTTGCTTTTGTGCTCAGCGAGTAATAAATCAAATCGCTTCCTCCGACCCTGCACAGCTCTCCGTTGAGTTAGGGAATGTGTCTGAAAATGAACGAGTTTAGATTATTCCAAGATGAAGAGAGAAAATAATAACTATTCAATGCATATAAAGGCCTGGCAGTCTCAGGAGGACAGTCAAAACCTAGGCACCATGGGCTCTTACAACATCCTTTTGGGCACACTGGAATTTGAAGTTAATGCGAAAGGAAAGAGAACTGACCAGGGAGGAATGTCTGTCTAATCCTCTGAACTCAGGACTGGACCAAAGATATGAGAGAAACAGAAAAGGTTTTACTCACTATCAGAGTTCCATCTACCAAAATATATGAACTAGCCTGCAGTGACACATAACATGCTAAATTTGCTTTTGACATTTTACATTTGACATTTCAAAATAAGCATTAAGTTTATATGTATTGTCAAAGGCTTTCATGGCTAGAATTACTGGGTTGTTGTAGGTTTTTCAGGCTGTATGGCCATGTTCTCTTCTGATGTTTTGCCTGCATCTATGGCAGGCATCCTCAGAGGTTGTGAGGTTTGTTGGAAACTAGGAAAATTGGGTTTATATATCTGTGGAATGTCCAGGGTGACAGAAAGAATCTTGCCTGTTGGAGGTAGGTGTGAATGTTTCAATTGGTCAGCTTGATTAGCATTTGATGGCATTTGATGGGCTTTAGGTGTGGTTTGTTACTGCCTGGGGAAATCCTTTGTTGAGAGGATTAAACATTAAGTTCAAAAAACACTAACGGAACTTCCCACCCCAAGAAAAAGCAAATTTGAGGATTATTCAAGAATTACCATTCTCTTGTGTATCTTAATTCCTAACAGCTATTAAATCCCCCCCCCAAGACTTAATCAGATGAAATATTTCAATAGTACTAATTAAATATCATTGTTTAACATCATTAAAACTACCTTAGACATAGAGATTTCATTTAGCAAATACATGATGTTAGCTAGTGCTCCCTCTGCTGACAACACAGCAGTTATGTACAACCACAGAAGGGTATATACTGTTCTTCTGTACAGTACAATTAAAATATAATTGGAGCCCCCGGTGGCGCACTGGGTTAAACCCCTGTGCCGGCAGGACGGAACACCGACAGGTCACAGGTTTGAATCCGGGGAGAGGCGGATGAGCTCCCTCTGTCAACTCCAGCTCCTCATGCGGGGACATGAGAGAAGCCTCCCACAAGGATGATAAAAACATCAAAATCACCCAGGCGTCCCCTGGGCAACGCCCTTGCAGACGGCCAATTCTCTCACACCAGAAGCGACTTGCAGTTTCTCAAGTCGCTCCTGACACGATCGATCGATCGATCGATCGATCTATCTATCTATCTATCTATCTATCTATCTATCTATCTATCTATCATTAAGTTAAAATGGAGTAAGAGCAAAGCATGTTGGGCCACTCCTACTAAGTTTCAAAGTTATAAATTATTTCATGTAATGAGTGAGAAAGAATGACTGCTGAGTTGGCTGTGGCCACCGTTTGGACATAAGACTATTTCCAAAATTATTTAATACTAGCTGTACACACCACATGTTGCTGTGGCCAACCTTCCCTTCCTCCTTCTCTCCTTCCTGTCCTTTTTTCTTTCCTTCTCTCCTTCCTTCCTTCTCATCCTCTTCCCTCCCCCCCCCCTTTCCCTTCCTTTTTCTTCCCTTTCATCCTTCTCTACCTATTCTTGGACTGCAACTCTCAGCAGTCCTCCTGATCTATCTGAATTTTCCATCAGAATTTCTTGTGCTGTTAGCTTTCCTTTTCAATCTCAAAAACGTCATATGTATCTATGACTGCTATTACAATAAGTCTCTAGGATGCCTCTAGTTTTTGAGATCGAGAAAGAGAGAAACAATGGTACATTTGTAGGGTTCTGCTTGGGCTCTCAGTAACCCTACAAAGAAGTCAATGCACAGTCTGAACACATTTTAGTTAAAAAAAATTGAATTTCTTGCCAGCGCAAGGTCTTGCTGGCATTCCCATTAAGTCTCCATGACACCACTTCCGAAGTTGCTTCTGGAGTTGTTTGGGTGAACCAAATCACTTTTCACCTTTATTATTTCATTTTTAAAAAATCATAGAGAAGATATCATACCTTGCATGTCAAAGACCTAGTACAGGGTTTCTTGGTTTCCAAGTCAATGACACCACAATAGATATCAGGATCAAATTCTCTCTCTGTGAAAAAAGCAAACATATAAAATACAATCTGTTAGAAAACATAACCTATTTATTGGCAGGTACAACTATTTACTGGAAGGCATAGCAGGTACAAGAGGTTTCTGCGGCCTTCTGTGCACTTCTATACATCTTGAAAACTTGACATGGATGTTGGAAATCCATGGGAGCAGGCTTTCATAACCCCCAAAGCACTGCAACAGCAGATAAAAGGCAAGGAAGTCCCATCAGTTTCAGATACAGAAGCACACAACTTGATCTTGGGGATAAGAATGATGACAATTGAATGGCCACATTATTAACCATCTGGTCTCACTTCATTATAGCTACAAATATGTCTAAGTTCAGCATTATACCCCCGCTCTGACAAATACTGAAAATGAAAGCAGTAAATATACCCTTCCAAAACAAAGCACTTTTCTGCTTTATTTTTACATGCATATGATTGCAAAATCTGAAGACCTTCATTCACAGAAACTTCCAATGACACAAAGAAATATCTGAACACAAAGAAATAACACAACAGGACCATGTGTGCTTTTCTTCAGGTCTGAACTCCAGCAGTCAAAGCCACAAGCCAACATTCAGAGTTTGCCACAGCAAAACTTTGAAGTCAAAAACCACAAAGAAAGATGTGTGCTATTTATAGGCTTACACTGGTTATTTCTTGCAAGGGGAAAATGATTCTATGTCATTAAAATCTCCCATGCTCTTCAGTATCTATGTGATGTGCATGTGGTCATTAAAAGTTGGGGGGTTTCATACCATCAGTATGAGCTCTAATACTCCTTATTGGTGGTGTCAGTGGGACTGTACTGGTGCTGGACCACTGCCTGAATGCTGTAATGGACTGCATGATGACCAATAAACTGAAGATAAAACACTCTACTGACTAGAGATTCCCAAATCGGGGAACTAGGTAAGCAATTCCCTGGATTAGGCTGAATTCTGACTGAAGTAGCAGGAGGCTAGCTTGAGAGTACAGTATTCTTATGTCTATCTTGTCATTGGAAGGCCAACTGGACTATGCTTGGAGTATCAGAAGTCAGCTTTGACCGGTCTGTTAGTCCCAGATATTTCTGGGCAACCTGATCACACATTAACAACCTCATAGGGAAACTACTGCAATGCACTGTGTGTGCCTGCCTTAAGATGACTCAGAATAAGTGGTTAGAACAAAATGTAGCAACTAGATGACTAAGAGGACCAGCTTATAAGAGACTGTACAACATAGTTATAAAGGAACTGCACTCACTACCATATGTCTGAATTGAAAATGCTGATAACAATATAAAAAGCCCTAAACAGTTTGGGACCTCAATAAATCAAGGAGTGTTCTTGGTATACATGACGTATATCGGGATCTGCTCAAGGTGTCCCACCGGAGAAACCAGTAAGCTATGTGAGAACATGAAGGAAGGCCTTCTCAGCTGCGTTTAACCTAGTTCTGGGATGCATTTCCTTTAAAGTCTTTATTGGCATTGATCCTAGTTTCATTTCAGTGCAAAGTTAAGACTTGGCTTTTTATGGACTTCTCTTGGGCTTAGTGACTTCACCCTATGTGTACAGAGATAACACATTATTTTATTTTAACATGATTTTAACTGTAAAAATTATGTGATGTTTAATGTTTCAGAATGTTGAAGTTATTTATATTGTAAGCTGCCAAAAAAAACACTCGAAAAAATAAGGAAGGCAAAAGGAAGAGGGGCCGACCAAGGGCAAGATGGATGGATGGCATCCTTGAAGTGACTGGACTGACCTTGAGGGAGCTGGGGGTGGTAACGGCCGACAGGGAGCTCTGGCGTGGGCTGGTCCATGAGGTCACGAAGAGTCGGAGACGACTGAACGAATGAACAACAACAACATCACACAAGTACTTTAGATTCCAGATAATAACATGTGGATATTGAGGATTTAGACAGGACACCTAAAATTCAAGATGTTCAAAATATCCCAGTAATTTCAAACATGTAATTTTTATCATTCTTATATGAGGAAAATAAGATTTTATATTCTGATATTGTTAGAATTCTGTACAAACAACATTCTAAACATTACCTGATAATCGTTTGTGTAAAAATTTCCTATTGTTTGTACCCTCGTCTTGTTTCTTTTCCAAGTATGGAGGCACAGAGAGAAGACCTTTACCATTCAGTATCTGTCCAGGGGAAGGCAAGGGTGGCTTTGGTATTGAGGGATTAAGGCCAGTCTTTATTGAGGAGCTCACAGTAGTAGAACAGGTTGGACCAACAGCAGGTTTCAATAATGCACCATCTATCTTTGGATGTATTTTTTCCACTTTGACAGATGGAGTCATGCTGTAAGGAGGAAGTATGAGGAAAGACCATATGTAGTAGTTACATTATAATGTCTCTCTTATATCTAGACTGATTCAAATTAATCATGCAGTTAAACTCACATTTCCTGTCACTTTATCAAACTTGCTTCATTTACACATGTCTATATTCAAAACACCCCTGGGGTTTGCTGCATTGGGGTATTTTAGTAAATCATGCAATATGGCCAAGTATCACCAGCCATGCTTAGGACATTCTGAACATTCTGATATCAAACACTCTGAAATCTTGTATAAAAAATTGAGATTTACATAATGGGATCAATGGTTGCTCATTTTCTTTTTACGAAAGATATATATACACATTTTATTTGATCGGGATTATTTCTCTTTCTGAGGTACACAAAACATCAGATTCAGTTGTTAATCTGCACACTACTTCCGCCAAAAATATTTTATGTAATTCTGACTTTAGCGCCACACATCTCTATGACTTCTGCTACATAAAGTATAAATATTATTGGGTTGTACCTCTAATTATGTCAAGACTCAAAACTTATGCTGACACACAGACTATACTGATTGGCTTGCAACCCATGACTCACTTTCAAACCTTTTTGGGAGGGTCAATAGCAAATGTAATGGTAACCACTTCTGCATTTAACAATACTCTATATATTGGCTAAATCTATCCATGGTCACAGCTGTCTATATGTACTACTGTTCAACGGTTACTGATGAGAAAGTAAATGAAACATCAGACAGTCCCATTAAATCTATTCTTGTTTCTAGATAGAATTATAGATGTATAGATTTGGAAGAGTCCACCGTACCATCTACCCCCATTCTGCCATACAGGAAGATACAATCAAAGAACTCCCAATAGATGGGCATTCCATCTCTGTTTCAGAGAAGTGGTTGGAGACAAAAATGAAACATTCCCTTCAAGAACAGATGTTCACAATTTAAAGGGATAGCACTTGTGCTAGTCTTATGTTCTAGGCTTGCTCTGCAAGGCCATACTCACATTTTGTCATGGGGACCTTTGCTATGTACCAGATGTATTGGCCTATTGTTTCCACTGATTGGCAGCTTGTCTTTGGGTGATTTCAACAACTTGGAACTGGATGACGATGATGCACTAGTACCTCCACCACTAGATGAGCGACTGCTCCCCCCTCCGCTGCTACCTTTGCTCTTTGAAGACAGAGATGAGAAGCCTGAGAATACTGAAGAGGAAGTGGGGGTTAAAGGCGGCTTGCTGGAGGAGCTGTGTCTTCTTTCTGGAAGGGGAAAACATGTGCAAGTTAGTGACCACTGAGAACACATAAACATATTCCAGAAAGCAAGCTGAAACGTCCCTTGTTTCACTACAGGAAATAAAACAAAATACTATTTCAGAAAGCGTTCTAGAGTCATTTATTACAAAGTGTTGGTTTTCTGCACTGTATTTGCCATTCTGATAAGACTTCTGTTCTATTAATATTTATTTTGTTGCATATGCTTGCCTACTTGTTTTACTTTTTTACTCTGCTCACATACAGCAGATTTCTGTTTGGTCCCCATCCTAGTTCTGTTGAAGATCTGTGCTTCCAAAGGTGATTCTGAATGCCTTGCCTAAAGCACTATAATTAATGTCTGATTTCTAGTGTTAATTCTAGTCTTAATTCTGAGTCATCCACGGGGTGAGATAAAACAGGGTAGAAATAAAGTAAATAAATACACTCTGCCCAGCTATGGTCTATACTGTATATTCCATCCAGATTTTAATATATTCATACATCTATAAAAATTCAGTCTCTCTTCTTATAACAACTTTATTTTTACCCCCGTCTCCATCTCCCCCAAAGGACTCGGGGCAGCTTACACGGGGACAAGCCCGGACAAACACAGATTAAAAATACAGTGCAATAAAATAAACAACATCATAATAACATAAAACAATATCATAAACAACCAATAGTCTGAACAGTAATAATTATTGAAAAGAATGTAACTTCTTAAAATGTAACTAATTTGTATTGATATTAGAGTTTTAACTGATGTCTTTATTACATATACAGTCGGCTTTTCATATTCATAGATCCAACGTTCCATCACTTGAAAACATTAAAAAAAAATTTTTTACAAAAGGCAAATTTTGATTTTTTTTTCATTTTATAAAAGCGACACAATTTTACAACACTATTGTATTTAATGGAACTTGAACAGATTTTAGTATCCATAGGAGATTTTGGAAAACCTACTGGATACCAAGGGTCCGCTGTATACCCTCGAAGCCTAAACACAAACCAGTAGTGTACATTAAAAATAAAATAAAAATATCATTTTTTGGATTGCATAATAACGGGATCACAACAATGTATAACACAGAATCTCATTTGCTGGCTGTAACAGCTTTTTCAAGAAGTGTGCCACAAATACAAATCTTAGGTCAGCTATTATTATGTAGAAGGCCTATGACTTCAGGGCTACATCACACTCTTGATCACTCTCAAAAAATCTGTAAAGTTCTAGTAGATTCATGTAACTTGAGACAAAAGTTTCCACACATGCCAGACTTGCTATTCAACATTTCATTTCAGTTTAATGGCATTATATTTCACTGAAATCATTGACTTATAAGTGAATGTTTAGACAACATCATAAACTTGAAAGAATTGCTTAATTTAGATATTTTGTTTGCTGACAAAGAATGCATTGTCAATGGATACAACTGGTGGCTGAAGCAATGTACAGAATTTATTTTTTCCAACACTAACTTGCAAACATTTCTGAAAACCTTCATGCTTTTCTGACATAACACTTGTTCCACAACAGCAGTGATTAATACTCTGTTTTTCATCTATCTCTGCACTTTTCAAAGTTTGAAAGATTCTATTTACAATACCATGTGTAGACATATCAACTGATTTGTGCCATTTCCAGCAAGTGCTCTTGAATACAGACCTATAAAAACTCTATAGAAAAAAAGAATGCGACAGACAAGTTCTCTGTTATTGTTGTCCTTTGCATAATCTTCCCTTACCTTCAGTACAACGAACTGACAGTAAGCTAGAATTTGCTTCTCTTCCACTAAGCCCTTACTGCCTCATAACCATGAGCTCAATTCTAAAGGAGCTATGTACTGAATTTGTCCACCTTGGTCCTCACTGCCATCCCAAGCAGTTAAGAAGCTTCACTTTAAAAATTAAAATAATATCTCAGAGCACTCCTTTTCACATGGAAAGAGTTGACAGCATGTCATACAGAAACATACTTTTTCTCTGACTATATGTGCTAGACGTAACCACATAGGTACACAACCTTTGTTCTACAGAAAAGCCTTGGGCCAATCAGCTCAGACTACTTGTAATGCCTCTAACAGCAAAATTCCACACAGTCTATTTTGCTAGTACACAGACTCTCATGTGAAATGTTAAATAAGATGAAATATTTATCACGTTCATTTCGCATAGTTTGGTAGAGGTCGGGAATTCTTACAGTTTATACTCTTTAAAACCATTTTTGAAACGGAATCAACTTAAAACAATTGAAATTATATAAACGCACAATCAATAACAAAACAGCAATTGAAACAAAACAACCTCACACTCAAGTCTCAGTAGGCTTCCCAGGCCACGGAGTCAACTCTTTTCTAGCCTTGCCCTGGACTAGTTTGGGCTGCTATATATAATCTTCATGCAAAAGCCTTGGCCTACCCACCAATTGCACTAATAATATTGGCCAACAACAGAGGGTGAAGAAGCACTATAGGGCAGAGAGGAAATGCTCTTGTATTTTGAAGATGACAAGTGTGGCTTGAAATTTCATTGTCTTAAAAAGATAAGTCATTGAATATCTCAATATGCCCTGCTTACAGAGCACAGAAATGAAATGCAGGCGCTGCTTTAATTTAGAGTTTCCCCTAACATTTGAAATATGGATAAATGTGAAAGTAATGTAATTTTTCTTTTAAACTGTAGGGATTTTAACCCATATTTACGAAGGGTTTAATGAGTTATGAAGTTTTACTAACCCTGTTGAGCCGGAAACAAATCTTTTCTAAAAAAGGGGGGGGGGGATATCTCTCTAGGCCTTATATTAAGGGTCACAATTTTGCAAATGACTGAGACTGTGCACTTGAACTAGTCTTTAGACATTCCATGCTTCTCCATTTCAAGTGGTGTTTCATTCATGGACGGTCCATTGTTGCAGAGATATAGCAAGTTCAAGACTCCATTATTTTGAAATATGTAAAGCTGTGAAATTTTCTAGAATTGGAAAACCTAAAGAATAGTGCACACATTGATAATCTCAAGGTTGGGCTTCTCTAAAGTGCTGTACTTTGGGCTACCTCTGTGCCTAGTTCAGAAGCTCCAATTAATTCAAAATATGGCAGTCAGATTGGTTATGGGTACACCCAAGAGTGCCCATATCACAGCTATATTAAATCACTCCACTGGATGCCGTTTCTGAGAAAAGTTTTGTTTATTGCCTTTAAAGCTCTAGATATTTAGGGTCCAGGTGACCTGCAGGATCGCGTTCTAACGTATATTCCGCACCTTAGGATGTTCAGGTCCTCTGGGGGACACTAAATGCATTTAGACTGGCAACCATCACCCAGAGGACCTTAACATCCGCCAGCCCCTAGAATCTGGAATGACCTGCTGAAAGAGCTTCCACAGCAAATTGGGAGTCTCACAATTTAAATATAATTAAAGGCCTATATTTTCCAGCAGGACTGGCCAGCCAATTATAAACTATAATTTTTAAATCGACATTCTATTGATTTGAATTATTTTAATGTGTGTTTTAATTTTATGTCTATGTGCTTTAAATAGTTCTGTTTTTATTAGTTATTGTATTTCAATTATGTTGTAATTGAGGACAGCCAGGTAAGAAATAAATAGTTGCTGCTGTTGTTATCACTGAAGTATGTACTCCTTTGTTCAATCACTAGACCACATCTAGTCCCTCTTTCACTTTCTAGAGTACCTTTCCCTACCACACAGAAGATGGATACTTTTAAAAGTTATTTCCTACTGTCTCATGAAGAGTTGATGTGCAAAGAAAATAAATCACAGCGAAAGCAGTGCCATCAAGTGAATTTTGGGTAGTCCTGCATATGCTTCACTCTACCACAAGACTTTTTACCCTCTGACAATTAGGAAAATAAGACCTGGAGCCTAGAATAACTTCCTCAGATATATCTAACTCTGAACCAAAGAACTGTGCAGCCATGCCTAATTATACACATGAATCTGGGCAAGGTTTCTTTGATGAGGTTCACAGGATGTATTAATAGTTCATAAATAGCAGCTTTCTTGTTTTAACATTAAATTATATGTTCTTGCGCAAGGTCCATTGCCATTTCAGATACAGGAATACAAACCAAAAGTCTAAACACAACTTTGCAACTCTTCTTTATAATAAACCCATCTCCCAATTGTTTATATTACATATCAAATAAAACCTGAACTTTTATAAGATGGGTGGCTATTACGTTTCTTCATACTAAACCCCACCCCACCCCCAAATGTAGAATTGTACAAAACAGAGCATGTAAGAAACAGCAAAACAAATACGTAAAAAAACATATCATTTGGAAATACATCAGAATTTGGGATATCAGATTAAAATGTTTCAATACGGCTAACAAACACGGTGTTCAATCCATTTCTTTTACCTAGCCTAGCAGTATCTTCTCTGACTAGCAAAAGTTCACTGTAGTGGCCACAGAGCTTTCCCAGACCTATTACTCAAGACCTTTCCCTTGAAGATATGGGGAAACAATGTGGCCATAAATTAACTATTATTTCAGAAAAATAATTACTATGATAGTGTCTAGCAGCAAAAAGTATTAAAACTAGGTTATGTTCACAGGCACGCATCATATAGACACTTGTTTTACAGAGACAAACTAAGAACTAGATCGTACCACTTTATTTCAAAACCTGAAAAAAATCTGTGAATTATTTATGTACACTAATTCATGTTTCACACTGGAAAACACTTCTGTAATAATATGATTGGTCCACCCCTCACTGCTCCAGTCACAGATGAAGAATAGTAATTCATACTCATTAGATTAGCTAGGTAAGTGTTCAGCTAACGCATCCCATTTTTCTAGAGCTGTAAGGCAGTTTAAATCATCTACCTCATTAACTAAAATCCAACTAGTTAGTTACTGGAGAGGCCAATTTAAAGCTACCCAACTGTTGATTAAGTGAGAGCCCTGAGATCACAATTCTCCCCGTTCAGACTAAACAAACAAAGATATGATTCGTTATAACAATTGAAT